ACATTTGATTTCCGTTATGCGACAATGGATTCGCGCTTTTCCTCTATAGAGTCTCATTTATCCACAATGTGAGCTCAACAATTACAGATTCTTCAGGAGATGCGTGCAAAAAATGAAGCAACCAATGCTCATATTAATGAACTAACTCATGAAATGGCTGCTATGCGAGCCCGTTTTCCTCCTACCGATCCGGATGCTTGATTTTGTGTTTAGCTTTAAAACTTTGAACAAAATGAATATTGTTTCAACATTTTGAATTGTTTGATTTTGTGGATTGTTGGATTTTGGATTTATGGATGGTGTGAACTTATATGTTTGGTGTGTTTTATTCGTTATTGCATCATTTACATCATTATTAGCAATATGACCAATTTTGCCATATCACATTATTTATGAATATTGATTACGGAACTAATGGCTAACGTTTCTCTTAATTGTGATCTTAGCAGCTTATGCATACATATACCTAATCAAATGGCTTAATATTTTTCACGTTTATTTGAATCTTTTTGATTTAACAAAAAGGGGGAGAAGTGTGTTTTAAGTGTGTGTTTTTAAAATGATAAATATGGGAGAAGTGTTAAAGTAAGGGGGAGTAATTTCAAAACTTGATTTCAAAATCTTAAAATTACTAAAATGTTTTGTTATATCAAAAAGGGGGAGATTGTTGAAAACATTTTGATATTTCGATATAACAAATTAAGTTAAATGAATTTTAAGATTTTCCAATATGATTTTCTAAGTATATTCGATATAATTATTCGAATATCAAAACATTACTCAAAATATTTCAAAAATCATTTTTAATCCTTACTTAAGTGTAAAATTAAGTTTTAATCTTAAAACAATTTCAAAATAATCTTTCAAAGTATTTTGAACCATTTCAAAGCCAAAATTTCCAGATTGCTCAGAGGGAACCGATTCCCCCCCATAGGGGGTACCGATTCCCCCCTTAATGGTTTGGCTCCGAGATTTCCAGAATGCTCGGAGGGAACCGATTCCCCCATAGGGGGTACCGATTCCCCCTGTTCAACGGTCGAAATATTTGAATTTTACACTTAGGGAACCGATTCCCTACGAGGGGGAACCGATTCCCCCCACGCTCCAAGCTGTTTTATTAATTGTTTTCACACTAAAACGGCTATATTATCTTCATTAATTATCCCCAACGTTCAGAAGAGATTCAAGGTGTATTTAAACAAGTTCTGAAGCCCTTGATCAAAAAGAAAATATAGAGAAACAAGAGAGAAAGCATCAAACACAAAGTTTGTGCAATTCAAGCCAATTTTCATTCAATATTCATTTTGCTTTCAAAGAACACTTATTGTGCTCATTTGTAATTTTCTTTGAGTGTTCTTTTCTTGTTCTAGAATTGTGCAAACATCTTACCTTGTGAGGTTTTCTTGCAAGTTTGCAAATTTGTAATCTTCTCTTTGGGAAAAATAGTGTTCTCAAGAGTTGGGGTATACTCTTGAGGGAATTGTAAGGTTATCTCTTTGGCCTCAAAAGAAAGAACAAATTAGTGAATTTGTTGGAAAATCCTTAGTGTGGATAGCTAAGGTAGTGGACATAGACTTTGTTTGAGAAAGTCGAACCACTGTAAATCGCTGTGCAATTACTTTCAATTTTCTGCAAAAGCTTCCACAAAAATTTTAATTGCCAATTCACCCCCCTCTTGGCCGATTCCGTCAATCGATTAACTCAACAGATAATGAAGGAGAATACACAAGTGAAGAATTTGAAGATTTTTGCAAGAAAGAAGGCATCAAAAGACAGTTCACATTGGCGAACACTCCTCAACAAAATGGAGTGGCAAAGTGGATGAACAGAACCTTGTTAGAAAGAACAAGAGCAATGTTGAGGGATGTACGTCTAGAAAATTCATTCTGGGCAGAAGCAGTCAATACCGCCTGTTATTTGGTGAATCGAGCTCCATCAACTGCAATAGAACTGAAGACACCAATGGAGATGTGGACTGGTAAACCACCTGATTATTCAAACCTCCATGTATTTGGAAGTATTGTGTACGTGATATACAACTCCCAAGAAATTTGAAAGCTTGATCTAAAATCCAGGAAATACAAATTATTAGGGTATGTTGATGGTGTAAAGGGGCATCGCTTGTGGGATCTCACTGTCCGTAAAGTGATCATCAGCAGGGATGTTATCTTTGTAGAAGATAAACTACAAAGAAAAGAATACGATGATAGTGCTGAAAATTCAGAGACTGCACAAATATATTTGGAAAAGGAGGTTGAACAAGGAAATTCTTTTGAAGCAGAACCAACACATGATGAACAAGAACCAGAGAGTTCTGAAGCTCCAACAACTCTTCAATCAGATCGTGTGAGAAGACGTCTCAATTGGCACTCAGATTATGTTATAGAAGAAAATATTGCATACTGCCTTTTAACAGGGGACGGTGAGCCATCAACATACCAGGAGGCAATAAACAACTCAGATGCTTCACTGTGGATGACGGTGATGCAAGAAGAAATTAAAGCACTTCATAAAAATAATATATGGGACCTTGTGCCACTACCACAAGGAAGGAAGCCAATTGGTAACAAATGGGTCTTCAAAATCAAGCGAAATGGTGACGATCAAGTGGAGAGGTATCGTGCAAGACTGGTGGTCAAAGGATATGTTCAAAAAGAATGTATTGATTTCAATGAAATCTTTTCTCCTGTGGTTCGACTAACAACAGTTTGAGTAGTTTTGACAATATGTGCTACATTGAACTTACATCTAGAGAAGCTAGATGTTAAAACAACTTTTCTTCATGTAAATCTTGAAGAAGAGATTTATATGCTCCAATCTGAAGGTTTTGAAGAAGACGAAAAAAAGAACTTGGTTTGCAGGTTGAACAAATCTCTGTACGATCTAAAGCATGCGCCAAGGTGTTGGTATAAAAGATTTGATTCCTTCATTATGTGCCTTGGATACAACAGACTTAATGTAGACCCTTGTGCTTATTTCAAGAGGTTTGGTGATAACGATTTTGTTATATTGCTGTTGTATGTGGATGACATGTTGGTTGCAGGACCCAACAAAGATCATATTGAAGAATTGAAGGCACAACTAGCTAGAGAATTTGAAATGAATGACTTGGGATCAGCAAACAAGATTCTATGGATGCAAATTCACCAAGACAGAAGTAATAGGAAGATTTGGCTTTCACAAAAGAATTACTTGAAGAATATCTTGTCAATACTCAACATGCAAGATTATAAGCCAATTTCTACCCCTCTTCCTATTAACTTCAAATTATCCTCCAGTATGAGTCCTAGCAGTGAAGAAGAGAGGATGAAGATGTCTCGAGTACCGTATGCATCAGTAGTGGGAAGTTTGATGTTCGCTATGATATGCACAAGACCGGACATTGCACAAGCAGTGGGAGTGGTTAGTCGGTACATGGCGAATCCAGACAAAGAGCATTGTAATACAGTAAAGATGATCCTGAGATACATCAAAGGGACCTCAAATGTTGCATTATGTTACGGAGGATCAAACTTACTAATCAATGGATATGTAGATTCTGACTATGCAGGGGATTTGGATAAAAGCAAATCTACTACAGTATATGTGTTCAAAGTTGCTGGTGGAGCTGTAAGTTGGGTTTCAAAATTACAGTAAGTTGTGGCTACATCCACAACAGAGGCAGAATATGTAGCAGCTACACAAGCCAGTAAAGAAGCAATTTGATTGAATATGCTATTAGAGGAGCTTGGGCACAATCAAGAGTATGTCTCTCTGTTTTGTGACAATCAAAGCGCCTTGCATCTAGCAAGGAATCAAACATTTCATTCAAGGATAAAGCACATACGAGTTCAGTACCATTTCATTCGTGAAAAGGTAGAAGAAGGAACGGTATATATGCAAAAGATCCATACAAAAGACAACATAACATATTTCATGACGAAGGCGATCAATACTGATAAATTTACTTGGTGTCGATCCTTTTGTGGCCTGTCAGAAACGTAAGCAACATGATGGTATAAGGTAGAAAGAATGGTGTGAAGATATGATTGTTCCAATCAAATCTTCAAGTGGGAGATTGTTGAAAACCAAAGTTGCTTTCTGTGCATGCACCGAAAAGTTGGAAAAAAAAATCCCACCAAATTAATGGAAATTGTCAAAAAGTGAGCTTGATTTTGTTGAATTTATGTAAAGGGTAAATGGCAAATTTAGTAATTGCAATTTAGGGTATTTATAAGATTAGTCCTTAAGCTTCAACTATAAATACCCTAACTCATTTAGATTTATAATCATCCTAAATCATTCTAGCTTTCTTCCAATACTAGATAATTTAGAGAGTTTCTTGAGAGTTGTTTTCTTATTTTTATCAAGAGAGAATTGTTATTGTTTTCTCATTGGTAGATAGAGAGAGATTGTAATTCCTATTTTCTCATAGTGAAATCATTCTACTGTTGCCCGTGGGTTTTACCCTATATTATTTAAGGGTTTTTCACGTAAATTTTGTGTCTCTTCTATCTTCATTTTTATTTTCTCAAATTATCAATTGCGATTTTGCTCTATCCGATAGCCGTCATCCGCAACAGAATTTACGTATCTAATTTTATTTAAACGATCTATAAAAAATGAAAATGAAACAATATGGATAGAGTTTTAAGTTTTGACTGTCCAATCTGAACATGAAACTTAAAGAGTATTCACTCAACCCTAACTTAACCTCAATTTCAGCATAATTTAATTTAATTCGATATAATATAAGGTAATTCACCGTCAAAATTATAACAAAAAATTTGACTTACCATAAAAATTAATAAAAAAACACATAAGTTTATACATAACAAAAATTATATTATAAAAATAAGAAAATTATGTTTTAATAAATTAATCTCGATCGAATTTTCAAAAATTATATTATCGTTAAAAATAATAATTTGTGGGCTGTTAATTTTTTATGGGGATGTGTTTATTCAAGGAAGCTCCTCGCGGGAATCTCATCTCCGCCCGCTAAACAAACTTTCTTTTTTGGCCAATTTCCAGATCTTAATCTTCGAAACAAACAAAAGGAAAAGTTATTATCATTGCTGCTGTTTTGTAGGGTGATGGATATAAATGCAATTACGGCATCGATTTTATTGTTTTTAATGGTCTCCGATTCTTCCAATGCAGCTTCTTCGTCGTTCTCGAAGCGTCGATACTTAACTGATGAATCTCCATCAGAGAACGACACCATTGCTGCTGCTGCGGCGCAGCCTGTAAAAATTTCTCTTTCATTCTACCAACCTATCTCTATCATTTGTTATTTTATTAACTGTTTTTGTTCTTTTTTAATTCGTCAGAAGATTAACAAAAAACATATTTATTGTTGGGATTTCAGAGCTCTCCGTTGCCGATTCTTTTAAAGGGTCCGGGCGACCAGAAATTGAATCTAAAAAGGGATAATTCGACGAAATTGGATCCGAATTCGTCCAAAAGAACGGATTCCATGACGCAACATCCAGTTGACAAGAAAGATCTGAAACCATTGGGTAAACCGGAGAAGGTGAATCCATCTACTCAAAAGGAAATAGCTAGTGGAAACAATTCAACTTTAACTCCGAAGGATGATAAAACAATAGAGGGAAATGAGGAGAAGAAAAAAGAATGTAGATAGTGGAAAGAATCCAAATAGTACGAACACTGAGAAGGGAGGTTATACAAAGGAGGATAAGGAAATGAAGAAGAAGAAGAAGAAGAAGAAGCCGACGATGACAAATGCAGATGAAAATGATTCAAAGTCAGTGATTCCTAAACCGTGTGACGGCATTGTTACTAGATGTGAAGACCAAAGCTCAATGACTGCATGCATTAAGGGTTTTGGAACTGGTAATTAATATTGCTCTTTGTTATTTTTCTTTGGATTGGTTGTTAGGATGCTTGTGTGGAATTTGAATGAATAAAAAGCGATTCACTACTTCGATAGAGCTTTAAATGAACTAATGGTTGGTGTTGTTTTGCCATAATGACATGGTTATAGAAGTGGGAATGAGAATGCATTGAATGCCTAGTTGAGTAATCACGTGAAGTGAATTCTCAATCTTTTATCCTTTTTTCTTTCAATTGGAGCTATAATATTTCCAGGCTTGTTGCATTGTTTTAAATGGTTTAAAAAGTAGAGTTATGAACTTTAAGTAACAACTGGAAAAAGAAAACTGTTTGGTAAATCTGTTATCCAGGGAAATATTATTAAATCTGTATATGGCTAGGCCATGCATGCACAAATTGTTGAATCTGATCCTGAAGTGCTGCTATCCCATGTCTCTTAAGTTAGGATTGATCAAGTTTGAACTTGTAGTCAATTGAGTGAATGCTTAGTCTTAAGTCAGAATATACATAGAATCACAACTGAAGTAATTATAATTTTTGGCCCAAGTCTATAGTAATTATTTGAAGTGTTAAAAATCAATTACTAATTCTGATGTTAAACAACAACCGACTGAGAAGATCCCCTTGTTCTGTAACTTCTGTTACTAAGGCCAACTGTAGTTTTCCCTAAGTAACAAAGTCTGAGTAGGCCTTGTAGTTCTAGCTAAGTGATAGTAGCTTAGGATTGAAATATTTCTATATGTTCTTTTAGTTTCTACCTTTTGTATTGGATTTAAAATAGAAGTAGCTAGCATCAAAGATGATAATGTCTTTTGCAAAGCATGGATAAAAGATATTTTCATTCATTTGTAAAAGCATAGCAATATATAGGAGGAAATTTTGGAGGCTAAAACTTACACTCAATAAGATAAAAATTGGTGAGAAAATTAATTTCTTTCAATGGTGCAAGATTAAGGTATGATGAGGAAGATCAATACCAGGAACAGCTTTATGGATTGCAACTTCCTTTAAGGAGTTATTGCTTCACGAGGAAATAAAAATAATTGGAATATTATTGTTTATGCAGATTAAATTCTTTGGAATGTAAGGTTATGGTTTTCCTTTTCATGTGAATACGTCCAATAAGTTCCTAGAAATGCATTTAAATAATGTGCTTCTAGGGTTAACTTCCATCAACTTTTATTATATTGAAAATATATTTTGAAAGATACAATATGTAAGTTTATTTAAGTGTTTGTTTCTATTTTCTCTATCTCCCTTTGCTGCTGTTCTCCCGACTGTTTTGTCTCCCTTCATCTCTCTCAATCACTTCCCTTTGTCACCTTTTTTCTCTCAGTCTGCTCCTAGTTCCCTTAGTGTCCTCGTCTTGATTCACCATCTGGTCTGTAGTTTTAGCACCATACAATTTCCTGTTCTTTTTTTAAAACCTATAGTACATATGTTAAAGTATATTTCCATCCTCCCTCTAAACGGACAATCCATGTATGTATTTTGTTTCTTTTCTTTTTCTCGTGTTAACTGTGTAAGTATGAACATTACAGAATCAGTAAACATGTCATATTTGTTACTCTAATTTTGTGTTTATGAAACGCATTGTGTTCCGTGTCATGTCCAAAATTGTTAGGTCTACCTCCATCAATGTTTTTCTTTTTTAAAATTTTGACACATCCTGTGGTGTTCATTATTTTTATTTTTATATTGTTGCCACAATAAGGCAAATTCATGCTAATAGTGAAACTTTGGTTCATTCGTGTTACTTAACCTTGTTCCATCCGGATAGTAATAATCCATGAAAGCAATAAAGTGGTATGAGCTTGGCTGACAAATTTGGAGTAGCATACTTTGCGGTATCATTTTTACCACATTGAAGGCAATAAAGTGTTAGGTGCTTAGTTGACAAATTTGGAACGACATCTCTCGTCTTTGTTACTCGGACTCTTCATTTTTCATGAAGTACCCGTGTCTGATACTTGTGTCCAACACTTGGATAAGGGATATGACCTCCAAGGATCCTCTAAATATGTAGAAAAACTTAGAAAAATCTAGCCATAACCATGTCGGATACATACCCGTGTCCGAGTAGTGAGAGAGATTCTCGTGCTATCCTTTTCACCACTACTGATGAAGAGAATAAAGGCTGCTCTTTATGTGGGGTAAGGCTGAAAGAAAACTTGAACAAATTGTAAATGTCATTGAAGTAATTTCCTAATTGTTGGGTTATTTTTAAGTTCACAACTACTTTGTTTTCACTCCAGTGCTTAGTGACGGATCTCAGTAGAGACTAAAGATGTTAATTTATGTGTAAAGCTTAATTTAGTATATAACGTCTTCTTTAGTTTGGTTCTGGTTCCAGTATTGTTGTAAGGGTTTTTGGAATAGTTTTTCCAAGGTTGTAATTCTTATTTTCTATAATGAAATTATAAGGCACTCTTTTCCTCCTTCCGATGATTAAGAAGCTTCTATACAAGCTCTATTAATCAAGAAGAAGGTTTTTAATGAGGCCTTCAAATCTTATCAAAAAAAAAATAGTCTTGTGTGGTTAATCAGCTTTGTACCTGTTCCTTTTTCTTTCCTAATGGTAAGAAATCAGGAATATGATAAACATGTTTATATTTACATGTTGATTGATGTCAATAGAGAACCCATATAGTAGCATAGTGATTCTTACATTTCCTGATTAATTAATTTAACTTATTTTTCCTTTCCAGGGTCCAAAGAGCTGACTGTTGTGGTCCATAATAGTGGAGAGGAAATTTTGAATGTCAATCTTGATGGCCCTTATGGGGGATCTTTTCCCAAGAGGCTTAGAGTACCAAAACATGGCACTCAAAAGGTATCCCCCCCCTTTTGTACAAAATAGGCTAGATGAGAGCACTTATCAGGACTTTTTTGGGGTTGAATGTTAAAACTCTATTGTGTTGTGTTCATTAGGCATGAAGATACACACTTTGACTCTGAAAAATGTTCCAAAAAGTTTTGATGCTTAATACTTGTATCCCTTGCCATGTACAGATCTGTGTCCAGAAGTAACATGTGTATTTGCTTGTTTGTTTCAGATTAATATCCCTATGACTGTAGACGAACCCGGTTCGATAGTGTTAACTGCTGGAAATGGAGATTGTATACTTCCTCTGGACCCTAATGTATCCAACACATACTTTTTCTCAAAGCTCCCATCGTACGACAAGTTGTTGACTCCAGTAAATGGTGCATACTTCTTGATTGTAGCAGTGGTAATACTGGGAGGGTCATGGGCTTGTTGCATATTTAGGAAGAGGAGACAGCATGAGGACGGTATGCCTTACCAAGAGCTAGAAATGGGAATGCCTGAATCCATAGCAGCTACCGACGTAGAAACAACTGAAGGTTGGGACCAGGTTTGGGATGATGATTGGGATGAAGACAATGCCGTGAGGTCACCGTTGGGGCGAAATGTAATCACTAGTATATCAGCCAGTGGCCTCACTGCTAGGTCTTCAAGCAGAGATGGCTGGGAGGATGACTGGGATGATTAGCTTTATTTCCTTTTATTGGAGAAAGTGAATAGCTTGAAATCAAAAGATAGAAGAAAAGGGACTGGAGATGATACGAGGAACTGGCAACATTTGGTTCAAGCAGTTACCATGTTAAAATTAACGGTCACCATGGTGATAGGAAAATCCTCCAAAGGATCGATCCTATGAAGTCTGTTTTCTGCCTTTTTTACCATAGGCGATAATATATATATATATATATATATTATTTTTTTTAAAGAAATCACTAATTTTATTTAAAATAGTAAATATCCTAAACTACAATAAAAAAAATAGCTGACCTTTATTCCTATATGTAATGGAGTAAAGGGAGGTAGGATAGTAGGCTGCTCCCAACGCCATGTTGAGAGCAGCTTTCGTAAGAAACCTCCGAATTATGAAATGCTCTCCGTGGGACTCGATCCCATGACCCCAAGGCTAAAAGCTTTGTGCTCTTCCTAAACTACAATAAAGATTTACATAATCTAAAATTAAACACATTTCTTATGATCATTGAAATAAAATTAATAATTTAAGATCACATAAAGACCATATAAGGAAATATGAAAATTTAACCAAGAAAACTCGAATAAAGATATATACAAATAGATCTAATTACATCGATAAACGAACCACAAAAGGAGATCAAACTACTAAAAGATCACCAATAAATCACAAATCAAATTTGAGCGATGTGAAAAGTTATTCACGAACGCATAAAGAGTATTTAAATTCAATTTGAGGGTCTAAAGCAGAGAATATCAATAATATATTAGATAAGTGCTATCCTGATCAGTCGTGGTGATGTCTAATCAATACTTAGAAGAAAAAAAATGAAAACAACTGTCAATCGACTGAAAAACTTGTTATAAAAGCAGAAGAAAACATGTCATACAGGTAGATTTATTGAAAATAAGAAACAAGACAATAAAAAATACTGACGGTCGACAACAAACATTAAAATTGGTGATACCGCCGATCATCAAAAACAAAAACAAAAAAATAATAAACGGATATCCAATGAGAGAAACTATGAAATTTACGAGAAAAACCTTTTAAACTTTGAAAATGAGAAAATATATATATTATTTCATTTGTTCTTAACTTGAAGAATGAAGACGCGTTTTATCATTTTTTTCTAATCTTATTTTATAGGTCGCTAGGTCGGTTTTTGTCTTTTGATGTTGAAATTTGAGAATTAATTTTTGTATATTAATTTTAAATAATTTAGTTCTTTTAATTTTTTATTTTATATTGCATATAATTAGATATCAACTACATTAATAATTTATATAAATATAAATATTATATAAATTATTCAATAATATTTTAGGACTAATTTTGTCTTTACAATATATTATTTTTTTCACTCCCCAAAATGGATGATAGAATTTTAGTGTCATTAGTTATGGGTAACATATTGTCGATATATATTATCTTTTTTATTTTAAGGTCTGGTTTTAATTAATTTGGACTGATTCACATCGCATATCTAATTTTGGTAGATGAGTCTCCCAACAAAGATTTTTTGTATATACAATGACTTAGTTCATAACATTGCTTAAACGATATCAAACTGATTATCACTTAAACTAGCATTTGTTAATTATATTGTCAATATTTTAATCAACAATGTTAATTATTTGAAGATTTTATTTGACATTTTGATATTTTAATCTTCTTTGACAATTGTTTAATGGGATTAATTATAAAGTATATCATTCATTGTTTCAAGAAAAATATTTTTCATCCTTTAAACTTCTAAATAAAATATTAAATTACTCAAATTTGATAAAATTTTAAATCTAAAAAAATATTAGATTTCTTGTCTAATTTCTTAAGTCTTAAGGAGATTTTAATAAAATCTAAACTAATAAAATGATGAAGGAGAATTCATAGAATTTAATGATAAATAGGATGACAATAAAAGATGTTGATGAAAATTACAAATATATATAAAAAAAAAAGATATCACTTATAATGAAAATGACGAGGTGAAATAAAAAAATAATTTTTAAACTCTTGTGTCAGTATCAAATTATCACATCAATGATTAAACAATCAAGTGTTAATATCAAGTTTAGTGTCAAATATATATACAAATAATTAAGTGACTAACGGGATAGTTTACCCAAGATTATTTCTCGTACATTTCGCCCAATCCTTGGTTACTCTTCTCCTTTTGTCGCCAATAAAGTTTAATCAAAATGTTTTGGCTTACTGTGAAAAGGTAAAGAAAAATTTTGGTGATACTGGGAAATGTTATCAATCAAAAGCCCTAACCCTAGCTCCGCCTTGGGGCCATTGAAGAGACTGAGCACTTGTGCTTTTGCTTCTCCAATGGCACTCTGTTTGCCGCCTTCCTTACGACTCAGACCGCCTTCTAACAGAGTCTCTCTCGCCGCTCCCAATCAATTCGCAGTCGGTTTTCGCTCATTCCATTTACGACTTCCCTTAAAACAATCCGTCGTCGCTTTTGCAGCTTCCCACGAGGAATCAGTGAGTTCTAATTCTAATAAACGACTTCTACTTCATTTGAACTTACAATTTTTCATTTCCTTTTTACTTTGTGATTATTGAGAATGGTATTAAGAAAATTTGCCTTTCTTTCTAATTTTATTTAATTTTCTGGGTTTAGAAGCATTCAGAACTAGAAGTAGAGACAGAAAAGGATGGAGTGAGGAGCGAAGAAGAATCAAATGAAGCATGGAAGCAGGCTTTAGAGGCATTCAAAGAACAAGCTTTGAAGATGCAACACGTATCCATGGAAGCTTACGAAATTCACTCCAAGAAAGCTTTGATCACTCTGAAAGAAACTTCGGAGCAGCTCAAGATTCAAGCCGAAAATGCCAGAAACGATTTGACTGAAATAGTCAAAGAAATGGGTGAAGAAAGCAAAGAGTACCTCTCAACGGCAGCCGAGAATTCCCCTCCCGAGGTCAAAGAAATGGTCGAAACATTCTCTTCCTCCACCGACGACTTCAACGACGTTTCCAAAGTTCTCGACTTTCACGTTGGAATACCTTACGGTATGTTATTTGCATTCAAATTTATTTTTATATGATTTATGTTCCATTAATTCAACCATTGAAATATCTTGTGTGTTAGCGTTTGGCAGGTTTTTTTCTTTCAGTTGGGGGATTCCTTTCTTTCATGGTAACGGGAAGCATACCTGCCATTAGGTTTGGTATCATTCTAGGTGGAGCTCTTTTGGCATCAAGTGTATTAAGCTTAAAATCATATCAAAGAGGAGAGTCTTCTCCTCTTGCCACCAAAGGACAAGCAGGTTGCTACGTTTTTTTTAATTTACAGGACTTTATTACATCCTTAAATAAGACAAGACTACTATTACTAATGTTGTATTAATGGGATTTTGTTTTCTGCAGTGATATCATCTATATTATTCTTGAGGGAGTTGATCTTGCTGGTTCGGGTGGGGCTTCTGTCTCTTTGTATATAGCCTTGTTTTTACCTTATTGTCGACTGATAATTATTTATCGTTTGTGTTTACCTTTGTTCTTATTATTTTCTGCAGAGATCAAATCTGTGTACCTTTCTCACAACCTTAATCAGGTCCGTATAATTCTTTTCATGTTTTGAAATTTTTGTTGTTCATACTTGGAAATTGAAGGGTGACTATAACTTCTCTATGGCTAATTGATGATGATAAGTTTCCAACCCTTGGATTTTATAGAACATTTGCTGCATGTCTTAATGTTCATTAGCACAGTCATGTGAGATATATTTGAAGACACTTTAATTGCAGTAAATAGAAGTTGTCTGACAACTTGATTTCTTAAGCAGCGGTGCGGTGGTGGCATTTTATATTTTTAAGCTTATATCAAAGGACAAACCACGCATGGAACCTGGGACTGAAAATTGATTTGCTATTTTGAGGTTAGTTTATTTTGATGAGCATGTTCTGCTCTCTCTTTTTTTTTCTTTTGAAATGCGTATGTGTACTATTGCATCTATGGACACTGCCCTGTTCATTGTGGGAAATGTTAGTGGTTTGCCTCATTTCTTCTATCATAAAAGTTCGAATATGCTGCATATAGAGTTGGATTTGAGTATTGGGGCAACCAATATGCGCCTATTCATGGGTGTTTTTACATAACATCGTAGGTTCTCATTCTCTAAGTACACTTGATATGTTTCGGGAGAACTACTCTGTGTGAGGCATCCTTCCTCTCCATGCACCCACCCAACCTCTGTTTCTGTGAATAGATGTCAAATCTCTCTCAGGAAGTGTACTTCCATTTCTGATACCAGTGTTGAAAAATTGGAGTTTTATTTTACATTTTCTGAGAAGTTTTTAATCTTCAACTGGTCCAGGGAAGAAAACAACATATAAATATTGCATGATCCTTCGCTCTGAAGGAATTAGAATCGATAGCCGAGGGAATCAAAGTACAAGCTCTTGATGCTGTTGAAGGATGTTGGCTTGCGGCATCTTAAGTTTTCGTGTGACTCAAGTTTGTTTGTTTTGAGTTGTGAATCCATTAGGATAATCCAATGATGAATATTAGAAGTAGTTTAAAGAACGGTGTGTTTCGAGCACTTCATGATGATGATGATGATGAAGTTATTTTCTTCTTACCATATGCGCAGCTTTGAATAATAGTAATTTCCTTTTTTAATATGGTAGGAAAAGGTGAATAAAATCTTGGTTTAACAACGTTATTGGTTGGTGCTAACAGCAAATCCAAGAGTTGAAGCAAAGGGAGGTCCAGCTTAATGTATTGCAATAGAAGATTGTGTACTGGCACAAATAATGCATTATAAGATGTGATATATTTTGAGTTAGGGAAGATCAGAAGAAAAAATCCAACATTTCTAGTGTTATATTTTGAGTATATACTTTGAAGTGAAAATAGAACAGAGTTTTATGAAAAATTAAACTATAAAATATTTTACGAATATATAAAAAATGAATCAGATTGATCAATTTATTTTACATCAATCAAATATAAAAATGTTGCAGAAATTACTTTTTGTGAAATAAATTACATGAAATAATAAATATAGGTTAAATTATGCGATTAGTCCCTTTTGTTTAGGATCTGATCGATTTTGGTCACCAATTTAGAAATTAAAGGTAAATGATCTTTTACATTATTGGTCCATCTGGTTTAAGTCTCTATGTTATTAATTTTTTGTTAACCCCTTTTGTTTAAGTCTCTAATATAGTTGAGGGACTAAAATTCAATGGGAGTTAGTAGTTAAGGGATTAAAATTGAATGGATCTATAACATTAGGGACTAAACTAAAATCAAATAGATTGATAACGTTAGAGATTATTTGCTCTTAATTTTAAATTGTGATCAAAATTGGTCAGATAAAAAACATAGAGGACTATTCGCATAGTTTACACATAAATATACTCTTAATAATAACATTTGCCACGGTCCATACCAATTTACGAAGTATTTACTCAAGTAAGCCCATTGGGTCTAATATATCACAAGTAGAAAATGGTACAAACAGTTACATGTATAGTATACATGAGACTCATGGTTTCTTTTCGAGATCATGACATTGGCAGCCCTTGCACTCACCAACAAGGGTGTAGCCACAAAGGGAGGAACCAACCAACTTTAACAAAGAAAAAAAAATCAAAATTATCTTTCCAAAAATAATAATAATATAGAGAAAATTTTATATAAAATTTTATATATTTATTTATAGAGACCATAAATAATATGATGCAAAAGAATAATATGTAAGAAAATATATTTTAGTCGAAGGCTTTGTCAAAAGAAAACATCATACGATGGAGTTATGAAAGGCTTTGATGCTATACAACGGTTATGAAAAATTATATAAGTTGAATTACGATATCGAACATATTGGTTTTTTAAAGAATATAAGAGTTCTTTATCCAATGAATAAAAAAGCATCTGCTGCTTCCAGCCTATATGCCATATATCACTCTCATGCTATTCTGTATTTAGTGGGGAAAATCTTTGGAATTATAATGATCCAACCTTTCTTTTACTTTTTATTTTAAAATTCACACCGTCTTTCTTAATAAGATTTACCGGAGAAATTATTGTGAAAACTGCATGTGAGAGTACTGTTTCTAGTCTTTAGCATACAAGAAAGCTGAAATCTAAATGGTGTCACTTTCCCGAGAATATTTAATTGTCATCCTCAAAGATTTTGTTTTTCACTAGAAAGAGACACTAGTAGATTACTCTCATCATGTTGTATGGAGACCATGTTCATGTATGGTTCACCCCCCCTTGTTTTCCCACAATATATTATATATTTTCCATCTTCCATTCACATTATCACATCTTCTCACATTCACTTTTCTTAAACCGATTCACCCAAAAGTTTGGGGACAAAAATTCAAAGTTCATGGTCATGGTCATGTTTTAAATTAACTTTTTTTTTCATTATAAATTTGAAAAAGGCTCGCATAATAATACAAGATTCAAATCTTGGTTTAAGATATAAAAAAATATAATTTTATCATTTTAGATATGATCTTATCTTGTAAAACGGAGTAGTTAATATATAATAGTAATTTTCAATAAATATTGTATGAAAGATAAATTATGTTATACTAAAGATAATTTATATTTAAATTTCAAATATTATTATTAGAAGAAATTACCTTGAATTCAAACATGTTCGATTAAATCGAGAACGAAGATAAAAAAAAATACATAATAACAGTTACTTTTGGAAATCTCCTCTCTTCTTCAAGCAACACTAGCTTCGGTTTTGACATAGAGATCAGAAAATCCCTACTTACCATATCCTTTTTTTTATAATAAAAAGACTAGTTTACAAGGACAGAGTTAAGATCAAATATTAAGGGTAAAATTCTTTTATATCAAAAAAATAAAATTTTATTAAGTATTTAAATTAAAATTCGAGAGAGACAAAAGTCTTAGTTGATTAATATTTAAACTAAAAACGATCTAAAATATCATTATACTAATTATTTTTGAAAAGAACAACCCCTCTCTAAGTCACTATATAGCTTCGACCCAGCTAGCATATATATATTATAGCATGACATGTGTGTATATATATTGTAGATAAAGATGAATAATTGATCATTAAATAATAAGAATAAAAAAGTAAATACATAAACTTTTACGTTAAAAACAGTGAATAGAAGAGAGAAAGTTTACTGTATAAAGGTTAAATATAAGAAAAATACAACAAAGACCTAAACATGTCAAAATCCTTTTTTCTACTAAACTTAAAACTGTTATACGTATATTTATAGTTGTATTGACACAAAACCCTAGATGATAAATTCGAGAGACTTTTATATCTATCACAAATCCTTTTTTTTTCTGAATAAAAACTTTCACCAACCTGATAATCTTTTCAATTTGAGTCAAAATGAAATTCAAGTCATCATCTTTAACCATATACATATGATATGGAAAAGGTGTAACAGGAAAGAGCTGCTAGCACCATGCAGCTCTATTCTTATTGCAAGAAAAAGAAACGAAAACACAACATTTATACATTAAGATTACAAATAGAATTAAGAAAAAACAGCAGCAGCGGCAGCAGCATTACCGCAAAGTAAGCTACCCCATTCAAAACTCAAGCAAGTCATCTAAATCTTGTACAGAATCCTCCACCCCGGGGAAAACATCGTGATCAGCTGACAACACGCTCATTTCGGCCGACGTATCAAGCGTACTTGGATACTGATGATGAGGCGACAAAAGATAATCGGATCCATTGTAGGTGATATCACTGATGGGCTTATAACCCTCTTTGCTTTCTTGTTTTACCCATGAGAAAAAAGTGTTGTCTTGTTTGGTTGTGAGACTGTTGTTTGCAAAGCTGAGGATTATGGAGTCGTTGGAAAAGGGATGATCGACGATGAAATGAGATGGGTGGGGCTTGTTTTTGCAAGTGTGGTGACCTAAATAAATTGTTTGATACTTTGGGGGATCATCTTCGATCATCTGGACTTGCTTTAGTGCTTGGCAGCCTTGCTCTTTCCTGTGGGTGCATCTGTAGTAGCTTCTGCAAACATATGTTATCATAATATTTCAAAATTAAATTCATTTAATTCTATTTCTAATGATGCAACATTGCCTGGTTTATTGGAATTGTAGTAAAAGCCAATGTTTAGCAAAGGAGATGTTGGAAGCTAATTTGTTGGTGCTAAAGATGTATACTGATTTTTCTTCACCAGTGATTGATATAGTGTCCATTCAATTCAAACATTAATCTACACAGTGCGACGTAGTTTATTGAGTCTATTTTCTTGAAACTTTTAGTTCAAATTAATATATGATTTCTTTATACGATTACATTTTATCAACGAGCTAAGAAACTTTAAGAATCCTTAAGAACTCGCAAACTAAGAAACTTGTTGCATACGTAAGTTTTCTCAATTGAACAGACTCCTTAATTCAGCCAAAGAAGAAGAGTTTTGATACATTTTTAATGGAGGTTCATTTTGGAGTTAATATTGATGATGGGAGACCTTGTTCGACAAAAAATAAGATTGTTTTATGCAGTTAAAATTCTATGAAAGTTTCCTTTTTCGAAAAGATATATGTAACCAACTACTTGATACTTAATCTGATACATGATTATATATATTCAACTTAGGGATTGAATTGTGTGTGTGTGTGTGCTTTTAAGGCTTCTATTGTATTGTTTGAGTTTTATTGTTGACGCACATTTTAGATTATTGAAAAAGGTTGCGAGTGTATAATTGTGAGTTTTATAGGCTATGTTTATAGGAAATGATTAAGTAATTAGTGAAGATTTATTAAAGGGGAAAGTGATTAATTAACATGGAGTCAAGTTGAGATTAACATGTCTATTGTACTGAGAATATTATAGTAGATTTCTTTTTGAACAAAATTTCACATAGGTGTAATCGTTGATCTATCCAAATAGTGTAACAATAACTTTATTGCGGTGTTGCTTACACTTGATTTCTCTACTTCCCCCTAGCTACTTTTTATACTTTATTATTATTAAAACTGGTGTTTTGCTTTTTGTTTGTTTTCAATTATTATGAGAAAAAACAATGGAATAGCAAGAATGTCGATGACATATATGTAGTGATGTGAGAAAATACACAAAGGGAAATGCACATGCACACCTTGGGTGATTAGAATTGAAGATTTGTTTCTGCCCATATTTCCTCCATGCATACCCATCATCAACCAGTGCTGAGCTGATGTTTTTTCTTGATGGCACTCTCTTCCTACAAATTAATAAATTCACTGTTATCCACCCTCCTCCACATTCATCAAACCTGTCTACTTGTAGCTGAAAACCACATCTATTCGTAGCATAAATTGCAATTGCGGTCGTGATGCAGTGTCACGGTGACTTTAAAAACCGTTAAGGTATGCATATATTTGTATATTCTTTAGAAAATTAAAAGAAGAATAAATTGTATCCAAGGAAACCTAGAATCCACCATATTTCAAAGGGAATGAGAATAGTACTCGAGTTTTCTTTCTTTTAAGCAAATAAATCCAAATTAAATACTATTTTGGAAGAAGAAAAAAATAGAAAGAATACCTTGTCTTGGGAGATCCTCTTCGATCTTTGAGAGTAGAGGGAGTACTCTTAATGCTCTCACCCGAATCCTCGGATTTCCGACCATCGCAGCAGCTGGTGTTGTTCCTAGGCTTCACGTTGACATCAACATTGTAATCATCGCCGCCACTGTTAAAGTTGCTTAAAATGGAAAGGGTTTTAGCAAAAGTGTTGCGGATTTTGATTACTAGATCTTCACTACCCGCTAAACCCGAATCATCGGCTAGGGATTTGGAGAGCAGATCTCGTAGCTGATTTGTCAACTCCCTGCCTCGGACAAGCTCCTCCTTTGCTTTCTGTGTGTCCCAAGACATGTTCCCCGACCAAAGCCCCCGCTTCGGTTCTTTCGGGATAATAATGTTGTTGAGCAAAAGGGGGGGGGGGTGCGAGAGAGAAGAGGCCTTATAGTATGTAAAGGGGCAAGGGCACAGCTAAATAGCAAATTCATGGAAGAGAGAGAACCCAGGGTAGAAAATTCCACTAATGGTTAACCTCCCATTCACTTTCCTTCCCCACGCGCCCTCCCGCATACTCGCCCTAATTATCGGGTGGAAATTTGTCACCTTGTAGTTAATGGATTTGCCTAAGTAAAAAATATATATATATATATTTGTGTCATGAGATGTTAGCAAGAAGGGTAGATCCGACAAACCAGGTGAGTAGAGGACCACCAATATAGTTTGAAGACATTGGTTAAGGATGAAGGCTCTGGGAATAACGTGACGGACGTTAAGTTTGTAGGATGGAAAGGGGTTATGGGCGTGGGGGAGAGGTTACGACGTAGAACATAGACAGGGAACTCGTAAGATGGTTTATAGTGATGTAATCAAGATTACGTCATACTCAACTCGTCACTAACACTGCTTCCATTTTAATATTGCAACTGTCAGAATTTTAGATCCACAAGACTTCACTGCCCCTAGGCCCTATACCACTAGTTTATTTTTATTTTTAATTATTGTTTACATATAATTGTTGGTGCCAATGACATCTCGGATTAATAGAAAGATTCAAGTAATGAGATTTAAGAATAATTTTTTTTAGAATAAGACAAGTAAAATTTCATGGGAAAAATAGGTACTATTTTAAGAGGTAAGTATCGTATAGAAATTTTTGCTATAGTTAAGGGATCATTCGTGCTATTCTCTCTTATGGAATCTGAAAATGCGACAAAAGCTGGGTTGTTGAAGAGTAACCAAATAAAATATAAAATTATATATAAACCACAGCTTGAGAGTGGATGAACACCCACAAAAGAGTGGATAAACCTGCGGACGGGAATGATAAGAGTGCGATGAGGCTTCATTATCATCATCATGCATGGTTTAAATCGAATGAACCCTTTCAAAAATACCGAATGAACCGAAGATATCCATGTGTGATTTTCTCTTTCATTTTTCAATATTAAAAATTATTTGTATTTGAATATAATATTGTAATTAATCGTGTAAAAATATAATTACTGTGATAGTAATAACATGAGAGTGCAACTACTAAGATTGTTATTAACACACAATTATTAGAATAATCGAATTCAAATATTATTCGAATAGTTAAAAGACAAATTGAATACCCACACTATTCACAAAGCTCCATCTACAATTAAGAGAGAGCAGACTCAACCATCTCTCCTAAAATCCAATAGAATAGTATGAATCAAGTACAATCAGAGATTTGACTTTAGTCTTGAAGAATCTGCCATGTTCATATGTCCCAGTCTAGAACACAGATCTATTTTATTTATTTACGAGGACAGACGTGATAAAATTTGACCTACTCGAACGGAAACCAAATCTAGGACCAATTTCCCTTTTTGTTCTGGTTCTCGTATCCACCATTCCAAAAACTTCCTCCTTGTCCTCTTCCTTGAGTGAGAAAGGCACTAGAAACTACATCCTACCATACACCACTTTGCACCCCCTGACCTTGACTTTGTCTCACAGGCCAGGCCATCTTGTTTGGTAGACAGTTTTCTTGTTAAAATAATAACAGCATTACTATTACCATCAGTATTTGCACATTAGAACAAGTCCCATTGGGATCCAGTACCACCATGCAAGTTTTCCTTCTCCACATCCCATACCATCTATCAACCTCCTTTTGTTCAAAATTAATATTCTTTATCCCCGATCCATTTTACTGCTGATTGCTAACACCCTAGCCAACACTCTGGATCGACTTCTCTTCACTTGAAAATTACGCCTTCACTTCACCCGAATTTCGGAGAAGGCAACTTTCCACCCTTTGTTTTTCCTTCTTCAGAATCACCCGACTGAAAAATATGAAATATCACAAGCGTGCTTTTTCATTAAGATACTCAAACTGATTCTGCTGCGGTTTTTCATTCATGTTTCACAAGCGTTGCAACCCATCATCTGAGGAACCATAGAATTACATAACATCAACGAAATTACATATTGTATCAGTATAGTATGTTGCATCAATGTAATTTCACACAGCTTGTAATCGTTCTACTGGAAGGAAACCCAAGACATTATGCATTGTATTATTAGTACACAAACTACCACATTCCAGACTCTACCAACGGTAGCCCACTCTGTCCAAAGTTGATACCCTTCACTCTCGAGTATGGAACAATAACTCTACCAAGCACTAATTGCAATTTATTTGCCCAAAAACTAAAAGTGCCACAATGACTGCAACACATTAAGTTATACTTGATGCAAACAATGGTCCCAATATGGCAAGCAAAGGACAGTTGGTCAAATATTTGGAAGGCTGCAAAAGTACAATATCAGCATTTTTTTTCATTTAATCTATGCAATTCATTGAAAGAATACATCATTACCACTTCCCAAATCTTTATTGGAATGGCATTGAGATGTATCTTTAGTTTAATATTCCCAAACATAATAATCAAACTTGGATAATATAAAGATTATTCGAAAAATCCAAATTAGCCAAGAAATATTCCCTTGAACTTTCTTTTCAGTATTAACTCTTCAAGATCTTAACATAATGTACATATCACAACAGATAATTTTTCTTTATGATATCAGTAAGTGGATCGTCACATTCTGTCCATTTCATTGTTAAAGTCCGGAATTGTGGGGAAACATTCACAGAGGAAGCATAAAGAATCCTTTACTAATGCTGACTAATTCCATTAGTAACAGGTGTATGAAACTTGTAACACAAAGATTGGAATATGCACTTACCATAACTTACAATTGCATGCCACGGGACAGCCGTATGACGGATAGGCTTGAGTAACTATTTCAAAACAGGGTGTAATGTACATGTTAACTGGAGTCTTCATTAGACTATGACCTCAAATTAGGAGTAACTTTTCTTAGTATCTCTGCTTCTCTTGCTATTTGGATATCTGAAGGCCAAAAAATCTGATGTATAACTTTTAAAAGAAAGCGGGGAAGTAAAGCCATAATTATTATAAGCGAAATGGTGAGCCAATAGGTGGGTGACTTTGCCAGATGGTAGATTGTCCTGCCAATTTGTAAGAATAACATAAAATCAATCCACTAGAACTTTGGAACTAAAGATCAAGAAATCATACTCTGAGGTGAAACTAACCAGTAATTTGGGAAGATGGGTATAGAATCCAAGACCACCATACAGGCATATGTGATCATTATTGATCCCCACACTGCAGCATGAGTTATGAATACCCAACGACGAATGTCCATTGCCAAGTGTATATTAACAAGAATAACAACGGTTATAGTCCACAAACTGCCCATGCTCCATATATCAATTGAGCTCTCCTTATATGTGAAGAGAGGTATATAGAACAGAACAAGGCTCTGCCATAGTGTGTCAATCATTGTGATCCAGAAGAGTTGAAGATTATATGCCTCATGTCTATGCCCCGCACCATAAAGTTTAGGATACTTTAGGAGTGTCTTATGACTTAAATCCTTGTCAAGAACGCCAACAACAATAGTAGGGACAGATGTATATATAACAGAATAAAATACACTACTCCAATCTGTTAATGCAGAAGTGGTTGAAAAGGCTGTGCATAATATGTACCTACAACATACAAAACAATGTACCATGAAACCCACATTCATTCATTGCACATGTTACGGGAAAAAAAAGAGTATACAGCTTAATATTTCTTGATAGACAGGTGTCACTTGTCAATATAATGCATTGCTTTCTAATTGCCCATGAAAAGTCCCACAATTTGAATGACCACTTTAATGATCTCTGATAAAACGGTCAAATTTGATTCGACATTTAGTTTGCCAACTAATATGTAGATATAAAAAATTGCAAACCTAAGGGGAAATTTCTTTTTAACTGTGGGGAAATTACCTAGAAAATTTTCCCTTTCTTTTAAGCAATGTGCGCATCAAGTTCAAAAAACTCAGATTCACAACAAAAAATTGTACATACCAGAATAGCATCAACACAAAAACAGCATTGCGATAGAAGTTGTAAAGAACTAAGTAACCAACGCGCTGGTAATTCCAATGACCGTGCACCAACAGTAATCTTTTCAGAAACTGGAACTGGCCCATGGCAAAATCTGATGCCATCACAGCCTGTCGTCCTTCCTGCCCACATATTCCGACACCAACATCCGCCATTTGGATCATTGAAACATCATTAGCTCCTGTCAAAAATGTAATTATCAGAGAAATATCAACGCTAGCTTGAAACATGTAAACTATAGAAGCTAATGAAGCTACTAGAGCAAAATCTGAACACAGCAAATAGTCAAAAAGACTTGCCATCACCAATAGCAAGTGTCATGTCATCAGTGCGGCTTTTGATAAGATCCACAATCCCGGCTTTCTGCAGGGGTGCAACACGACAACAGAGCACTACCTTGCAGGAAGTTGCAATATCGAAAAGCTGTTGAAAGGTGTTAAAAAAAACTAGAAATATTCAGGAATGAAGAAACAATGAGTAAATCCACATATAAAAGCAAGACTGAACCATCTCGAAACAACACACTACAGATACTATAAGATCTAATCTATTTTACAAATAAAATTAGCCTTACCTCTGATTGTAAATCCTTCTCCAAAATATAGACCAAACTGTTTCCATCAATTATAAGTGCAAGGGGTGCACAAACATCAGGTTCTTCCTTTCCAGAACATTGCTGTAGCACATTGGAAGATTTTGCATCATCCGGTATCTCAAAATAACCAATTTCAGGGTTATTGCTCCTTTTCGAGTTTTTGTTTTTTCTATTTGCAGGTTGCACTCCATATCTGGTCTTTGCATCAGTCAAAAGACTTCTGCATTCTTCCTCTGAATTACCATTTATGATTATTTGTTGCATATCTGCAGTCAGAAGTTTACATGAGAGTCCAATAGAAATTGCTGTTTCCTGTTTATCTCCAGTCAGAACCCAAACTTTTATTCCTGCTTGCCGAAGAGCCTCAATGGCTTCAGGTACACCATCTTGTAGCTTATCCTCAATTGCAGTAGCACCAAGTAAATTTAAGTTGCATTCTACTAAAGCTGCTGTTTGACGTAGTTTTGCAGCTCTGTCAATTAAAGAAGTGCTTGCATCTTCATATTGGTATTGCCACTGCTCAAGTTCTGCATCTGTAAGATCCCTTGCAGCAACTACAAGAGTGCGAAGACCTTCTGAAGAATACTCAGTCAAATGACTTTGAGTTAATTGTCTTATCTGATCACCCTTCTCAATGTCTCTTGCTAAAATGCTGAACATTGTGGTATCAGCACCTTTCACCAACACCTTGATTGTGTTGTCTGGAAATCTTATAACAACTGACATTCTCTTGCGTACACTATCGAACTCATGCAACCCCAAAACATCCAACCTGAAACATTAAAGTTCTATTTTAACACAACAAATTGCATAGAGAAAACTAAACGTGCACTACTTGACACTTGGCCTTTGGGGTTGTTACTAGGACTGGATCACTAGAACATAATAAAATATGCATGCAGACAGAAGAACAAACCATAAAAAAACACATACCTTAGTTTATCACCATTGACATCGATCGCAATATGACCTGATGTTCGTTCATGGAGAGTATACCCATAAGCGGAGGCTGCAGAAACTAGTGCTTGCTCATCTGGAGATTCACCCTGATAATCAATAGCTTTCACCTCTCCCCATGATTCACTTCTTCCATGATTGGAAGAAGCATCCTGGGAAACAATTGGGATCACAGTATTACATGCAGCCAGAGTGAGGAAGAACAGATGTGCAGCAATTCTTTCATCTCCAGTCAAGTCTTTATGCAACAAATCCATAAGTTCCGAATCAACAGAAATTTCAGACTTAAGCTTCCATCTGCTTGAAACAGCTGCATCTGCAAGGATCATATTAAAAATTGGAATTAATACTGCTTCTTAACAACAAAACGTACAGTATCAGAGGATAATCAATTAAAATGGAATATTTCATAGATACTGAGCTTCATTATTTGTGAATAGGAGACTGGTGCAACAGCATAGAAAAGCCAGTCAATCCAACCAAAGGCACAGACAAACCTTTCAAGCAACCTAACTAAGCAATTAAGAAAAGCAAGCAAAAAGGAATTTAGGTAGTCTATCAAATCAAGAGTTCAGCAAAAAGTTGTGAAAAGATTTTGTTGATAAATGTACTCAATTTATCAAGGCAATAACCTAGCAAGCAGAAATAAGTAAATAAATTTTAAATTAATCCAAAAAATAACAGATTCAGTCCTGCATCTATATGGATAATAAAGAACTGAAATCGCAACAATACAAAATCAATAAATGAAAAGGAAAACATAAAAAGAGCTAACAAGTCCTGACCAACACTAAATTATAAATTGCAGTATGTAGTAAGGACGACAAATGGCATATGGATTATAACGTTATACCTCTGATCTTGTCGTCCTGCAGTGAGTCATCTGTAAAATTGGAGCTTCTATAATCTTTCCCATAGACACTTGCTTTTCGAAATTCCATTTTGTTCTCAGTAAGTGTCCCTGTTTTGTCAGAAAACACATATCGTATTTGACCCAAGTCCTCATTTATGTTCAGCGATCGACATTGAAACCTTGAGCCAGAGTTGCTGCAATACATGTGTTTATCTTCAATCATGAAATAAGACTGTCCCAAGCGAACCAACTCCATAGTAATATAAAGAGAGATCGGTATCATTATCTGAAAGACAATAATGGAACTTAAAAAGGAGAAAAATGTTTCCATAGGGATCCCATAATATCTGTATGTTTTACCATTCTCCCTTCCGTTTCTTATGAATGTTTTTCTGTAATAAGGCAAGGTATCAAGTTCATCCTTGTGACGATGGAGCCAAAGGCCCATACCAACAGCAACAACAGAACACATAACAAGAAGGAAAATGGACAACCAGAGTGTTTCCCTGTTCATGTAGCTTTCCAATTTGCTTCGCTTTGAAGGGGAAACTGCACTATTTAGCATTGCTTTTGTTTCCTGCCCAGCATAAACCACCACACCTATTATCCAATCAGTGTTTTTCAGCTGACAACCACGCAAAACAATGTTTGATTGGCTGAGGGGAAATATATATCCGTTGAAGTCCATATTGGCTGTGAACTCGTAAATATTCCTATTAGGCTGCTCGCATCCGATCAACCCCGATACATTACAACCTTCAAATATTGAAGAAGCTGTTTCCTGCCTGGCGTATCTTGTCTTCAGATTTGATTCACCATCCAAATTCATGGTCTGGATGTAGGCAAGTCCACTAGGATCACTTGTCCCTAACAAAACCATGTCACAAGGAATTGTCTCGTCAGCATGGATCTTGACAACCTCTCCAGCTCTTATCTTTTTCCATTTCTTCATTTGAAATTCCCCTGCCTGGAGAACTAATGCCTCTCGGTTTTCATTCCGGTCAGACCGGTGTCTTCGCCAATCCTCATAACCATCTTTAATTGCCGTGACACAAAGCACAAACAAGAGTGGGAAAAGAGAGACAGTTCTTCCAAAGACTGCTAGAGGTGGAAGTTGATTGAGAGCAGCAATAGCCAGGAAATACAAATAAGCCACTCGATGAAACTGAATGAAAAGATTCTTGGGCAAGAAGGTGATAAGTGTATACTTGCTAGTCCGAATCTCATTCCCAGTAAACTCATATTTGTCATTAGTTTTCCTAGGATCATTAATGTAGATCAACCTTGGATTTTCTGCATATGGTAGATTATCATCAAAACTCACACTTTTGTTGCGGATCCTCTGGGACTTACTCAAATTTTCTGGTGCCAGAGATGAACTCCTGGAAATGTCAAAGCTTGTACAAGAGTTACTGTTGTTATGCAGCTCCATGGAACCCCACGATCCTTGGCGGGATATTCCAATGAGAACTGCTGACAGGAACGACAGTCAGCAGAGTACTACTATTTTGGGGAAACTGCAAGAGGACGTGCAGGAGAGGTAGGAGGTCTCAAAGGATAACGTGGAGTAGCCCCCTTCAGACACCAGTTTCTTCCTGATCCACTTCCTGGTGGTCTTCTAAATAAAGAAAATTGGCCTGAGACTCCTCTTACAAGGAAGAAGAGAATAAACATATTGAGGCCGAGGCAACTAAAAAAAGGCAAACAGTGAGCAGAAGTACCTCGGTGATGCTCCACCACAGAGGAAGAATCGGATGAAGGCAGTAAAGGGTGCCCTGAAATCGTAAATAGTATAAATCCTTCAATGTCACTGTTTCTATAGAAGAATGCTATAAGTACTACTACTAAAAAAGCAACTACCTCGTCTTGTTCTTAGATTCCGGTCACCGGCGAAATCAAACAACATGCAGGTTAATTTGTAACAAGATGATATCTCGTTTTGCTAAGTACAATCTCGTTTATTCTTCAAGTCAGGCATAAACACAATATCTCAAAAGAAGGAACAAATGAAGAGAAGACAAAGAAAGCAACGAACCCTGGCAAATTGCCGATCCAATCGAAGACAGCAGATACAAACCGTGTCCTACTGGAAAAAGGAAAATTAAATGAAACAATGACAGATCTCTGCTAGAAAAAACTCAACTCAGTTCCACGGACCTCCTCTATTCCATATAATGTCAAAACTAGAAACGCACACTGACAAAACACATATAAAGAAGAAAAAGAAAACCCTGAAAACTCCAAATGATGACTATGGCTATGATAACCCTTGTCGCATCTAATTATCAATTCACAGCCCCGAAAACCCTAGTTCACAATTAATAAGAAAAAAGGGATTTATCGTATCGGGAAAAGCGCGAAGCACGAATCAATGCACTGAAAACGAAATCATAGTGAAATACTGAAATGGCAGGGAAAATATAAAAAAAGGAGAGAAAAAAAAGTGGTGTAAAAACCTGAGAGAATAAGAGATCGGATCGATGGAGAGAAGCAGAGCGATGGTGAAAGTTCAGTTTGGCTAGAAAGTGCACGAAACGCGAGGAAATCGGAAGAGACACGGATGGTTTAGCACCAATCTTAGCTAATTGGCAACCCTTTTTATCTCTCTTTTCTGGTTACAAATGAACATGGCGGAACGGAATCATGGATCTTGCTTGCTCCTTTTCTTCCCACTACCAAACAACAATCAATTTCATAATTCATTAGCCATTCGTAGCAATGACAGATCCCCTTTCTGTTTGCCTTTTTTTTATTTACAAAATTTGTTAAATTTACTTTTATTATATTTATTTTCTATTAGTTATTATAAATAATCAATTAACAACTAACTTACCACTTAGGGTGCGTTTGGTTCACGGAATGTAAGATTACCAGTGGGAATAAAAGATTACCAGGGAATAGGATTACTGGGAATGTTGTATTTTGTGTTTGGTTGGTTTAGCAGGAATGTAAGATTACCGTGTTTGGTCAAAGGAATAAAAGATTATTGGAATGTATATTTGACCAAATTGTCCTTATTATATATTTGTATAATATTACAAATTGTAAAATATTTATATATTTTCTTTAAAAAATTAAATTCATAATATTTATATAATTTTTTTACAAAATTAAAAATATAAAAAATGTTTAATGAAAGGGTAAAAAAAATTTAACCCCTAAACTTCATATAAAATTTTAATTATAGACTTTTTTTGTAAATCTAAAATAATTTAAGGATAAATTTGTAATTTAACATTCGTAGAATTTTTATTATTCAATGACAGAAGAATGATATTTTTGAAAAAAAATAATAATTTAAGGGCATTTTAGTCCAAAACGCCGGTAATGTTACAATACCTAAGGGAATGGAGGTAATGACATTCCCGGTAATATATCCCAAAAAATCTACTATTGGTAATAAAACATTACCGGAAATGAGATTCCCGGCCAACCAAACATTGGAATGTGGGATTCTCATCCCATGAGAATCCCACATTCCTTGAACCAAACACCCCCTTAAGAAACTAATGCGGATATTTTATTTTCTTACCTTTTAAGTCTAAAATTATGTTGAAACTAATTAGTTTCTTGAAACTCCAAAATTTCAAAAATCACAACTTATATTTTTTTTTAATTTTATCCTTTTTTTTCTTACCAAATCTTCCTTGAATTTAGGTATTATAACTTTGAACGATGAATGTAGGTATAATATGTTTGTTATATTTTATGTAATATAAATAATTTTAAATCAGTTAGAACCTAAATGTTTATTTAAATTAATATATATATATATATATATATATATATATATATATATATATATATATATTGATAGAATTTAAATGAATTAATTCAACATTATATTGATAGAATTCTATAAATAAAAAATAATCATAGTGAAATTAATATAAAGTTATTCACATTCAATAAATGTGTTTTTATGAGAGGTTATTGAGTTTTTTTGACGTTAGTATCATTCTCAACGAAATATTTTATTTTTTTTCATATATTTAGATTTTTTATTTTTATTTTTGTACGAGTTTTTTTGTGACTATTTTTCTCATTTTTCTTATTATGCTTAGATGCGTTGCAATTGTGATTAATTCTATTACTTTTATTAATGAAATTCAGTTATCATAGTTCTAAAAAAAAGAGATTTATTATAGTTTGACTTTTTATTTCTACAAATAAAAGAAATAATAAATCACTATAAATATATGATTACAAGCGGTATAAATAGTAGTGTGCATGAGATTCAAACCCGACGAAAACCAACCTAACATTCAAGTTTTTTAAAATAAAAAAAAAAGTTTATGTCACGTTTTTTTTGAAGGTCAAGGTCATGTCAAATTCAAGTTTAGGATGAAAAATCAGTGATTGACTCACGATAATAGTATGATTATCCTTTATATATTTAGAGATACTTGTAATAATACTCCTATATCAATAGTTTTCAATTATGTTTCTATTTTATCGAATAAACTTGAGAATTATATATATTTTGTTGAAAATAAAAGTCTAAAACAATGGCTAGCAGCCGGCGGCTATTGATTCAAAGATGGCTGCAATTTTGGTTGAAATTCATGGATGGTAAAACTACACATTTAGTCATTGTACTTTTAGGGTATTTTTAAGATTAGTTCTTAAAGCTTCTACTATAAATACCCTAGCTCATTTAGTTTCAAAATCATCCTAAAGCATTCTAGCTTTCTTCCAATACTAGAGAGAATTTAGAGAGTTTATTGAGAGTTGTTTTCTCTTTTTTATCAAGAGAGAATTATCATTGTTTTCTCCTTGGTAGATCGAGAGAAGTTGTAATTCCTATTTTCTCATAGTGAAATTCTTCTACCGTTGTCCGTAGTTTTTACCCTATATTATTTAGGGGGTTTCCACGTAAATTTTGTGTCTCTTTTATCTTCATTTTTATTTTATCAAATTATCAGTTGCGATTTTGCTCTATCCGATAGCCGTCTTCCGCAACAATTGGTATCAGAGCCAGATTTAAGTGTGTAATATCTGGTTATTGTCTTTGTGGTTGCCACCAAAAGGTGGATCCTCCAACATAAGAAAGTAAGAAGGTATTACTCATTCTTTGAACGTTCCAAAGAACTATTCACGATAGTGAAATGGTGTGAATTATCTGTAATAGAAGCTATGGCAACAAAATTTGATATTGAAAAATTCAATGGGAGAAATTTCTCATTGTGGAAATTAAAGATGAAGGCCATCCTGAGGAAATACGGTTGTCCAGCAGCTATCAGTGAAAGGCCGGTAGATTTCACAGATGACAACAAATGGATCGAAATAGACGGGAATGATATGGCAAACTTTCATCTAGCATTAGCAGATGAAGTATTGTCAAGCATCGAGGAGAAAAAGACAGCTAAGGAGATATGGGATCATCTCACCAAACTGTACGAGGCCACATCGCTGCACAATAAAATTTTCCTTAAGAGAAAATTGTACATTCTCCGTATGCCAGAATCTACTTCAGTGACGGAGCACTTAAATACACTGAACACTTTATTTTCTCAACTTACATCCTTAATCTGTAAAATAGGAGAACAAGAACGTGTTGAACTTCTACTTCAAAGTCTACCGGATTCGTATGATCAACTCATCATCAACTTGACAAATAGTAATGTCACCAGTCTAGTCTTCGATGACGTTGCAGCTGCTGTTCTACAAGAAGAAAATCGGCGCAAGAACAAGGAAAACAGATAAGTAAATCTGCAACAAGCAGAAGCATTGACAACGATGACAACGATAAGAGGGAGATCAACAGAACTTGGCCAAAGCAACAGTCACAAATATAGTAGATCGAAGTCGAGGAGCAAGAAGAATTTAAAGTGTTACAATTGTGGAAAGAAAGGTCATTTGAAGAATGATTGTTGGAGTCTAAATAAAAACTCCAATCCACAAGGCAATACCGCAAACACTTCAGATGATGGAGATGCTCTATGTTGTGAAGCGTCAACCACCGTGGAAGGTAGAAAAAGATATGAAGATATATGGCTCATTGATTCGGAAGTAACATATCACATGACCTCAAGAAGAGAATGGTTTCATCATTATGAACCTATCTCAGGAGGATCTGTGTATAGTTGCAATGATCATGCCTTAGAGATCGTTGGTGTGGAAACCATCAAATTGAAGATGTATGATGGAACAATTAAAGTTGTTCGAGATGTGCGGCACGTGAAAGGCCTGAAGAAAAATTTATTATCCTACGGATTGTTGGATAATAATGCAAGCAAGATTGAAACACGTAAAGGAATCATGAAGGTGTTCCGTAGAGCGCTTGTGGTGCTGAAAGGCGAAAAGATAGCATCAAACTTGTACATGCTAAAGGGAGAGGCTTTGCTAGAAGCAGAAGCCTCTGTTGCCTCATGTAGTTTAGATTCTGCAATGCTATGACATCAGAAACTTGGACACATGTCAGAACAAGGAATGAAAGTCCTTGTGGAGTAAAAGCTACTTCCA